AAGTTTGGTGCTAATAAATCATAAATTAAAAACTAGTTTTTGTCCAAAGTAATTCTCGTTGTAGTAGTTTAAATAGTTTTCGTTCAAATTCATTTCTCGGATGCTATACCACGGGAGAAATTCCTTATGGCAAATTCTCTTTTACTAACATAACTAATTTAAAATTTAAAGTATAGAAAAAGTAAGTCCAGGTAAATAAACGTAGACTAAACTTTAAAGTTTCAAATGCTGAGATTTTGACTTTCAAAATATTAAAAATCCAACAAATTATGGAAGGATTATTTAGGATTACGTAGTTGGGAAGTTATCCTGCGATAATTTGTTAACATTTTGATATTTTGAAAACACTTTTTTAGCATTTGAAACTTTACGGTTTATTCGTGGTTTACCTGAATTTACTTTTATCTAAACTTTAAAATATCAGTGGAGGTGAAACAGAATTTGCCACGAAAAGATTCTCTCGTGGTAAAGCTTCCTTTTAAGTTTATCTTCTTCTAACGCTAATTCTGCTCTTTAAGTACTTTATAGATGATAATTAAATGAATGTAAGCCCTATCTTGTAGTTCAAACATAACTTTGAGTAATTAAGAAAAATTAGGGAGTGAAATATAGTTAAAGTGATTGAGATCCAGCAGATGAGATGGATTGGTCATATCTATACATAGATATGACGTATTAGTGTACAGTGTATATTTATGTATAATTTATATTATTGTTGTTATATCTATATATAGATATGACATCAATAACCCAACAAAAAATAACTTTCCACAAGCGGGAAAAAGGAAGAAAAGCAGACCACGCATTGATTGTAATGATTGTATTGTTATGTAACCATTGATTATGTAATGTTTGCTTTCGAAATCTCTCTCTCTTTATATATATATGTTCAGAGATGACAACTTATTCCGCTTTATAATAAAATATTTTCTAGTGGTAACGAAATTTAAGTTATTTTCAGTTTAGTATTTTTCAATGAAAGTAATTTTTCCATCTCTCTACATATCAAATATTCAGAGTATTAAATGAAATGTTAGTTTATTGCATTTTGTGGTGACACGTAATGTGGTGAAAAGTAAGCGGAATTATCCTTGAACTTCAAGTTTCAAACTTAATTTGCTACCAATTTATTAAAACTTTTTCAGAAAAGGGAACAGTATGCATCTTTGCATGTAGTATATACCAGAGTTGGCCGTTGATTACAGTAATAGATTACAACTGTAATTGATTACATATAATTACAGCTATGTAATCAATTTTGCTATGTAATCGTTTATGTTGTGATTACTTGTAATCGCAATTACTTGTAATCATGATTACAAGTAATTGATTACTGTAATCAAAATTGTAATCATGATTACAGCCGTAATCAAAGTTTTTGAAAATTGTAATCATGATTACAAGTAATTGATTACTGTAATCAAAAAATATAATCGATTACATTTTTGGCCAACTCTGGTATATACTATACGATACTTAAGTTATGTATATAAATGACAGGATTGACATGAAGTTTATGAGGTGTAAAATATATTTTTCAAATGTGACTAAACTGGTTGCCAAAGGCAACTAGTCAAAAAACAAAAAGGTTAATGCACATGAAACATAAAATCAAAAATATTAAAGTTATTTTTGCCTCAATTCATTTCTCTTAAAGTAAACCCTGCTTTCTAAGTACTTTAAATATGAAAATTAAATAAATGTATGCCCTACTTTGTAATGTAAATACAACTTTGTATTATACATTAAATTTAAGAGACTAAATAGTTAAGGTAATTAAAATCAAACAGATGAGAAGGATTGTTTACAGATAAGAGAACAATTATTCAACTAATTTTAACTTTTCAATCACTTGTAGAAGAAGAAGCTCTGAAAATTTAAGTTACAGAATAAAGAACTAATCCATATAATAATAAATTAGTTGCTATATACTAAATTATTAAAATTATACATATTATAAACTCAGAGAGATGACTTATGATGTTTTTTGAAAGGAAAGATTAGAGTGAGTGCATAAGGTGTCAAACTGTCGTCCAAAACTATTGGGGAAACATTCACCAGATTAAGCAGCCACTCTATTTTCCATTCAAATTCAATTATTTTGAAGATTTTAATGTGAAACTGAAGAGAAAAATATGCTCATTAAGATGAAGATTTTGGATGGATTTTGTAACTATATACTCAGTACTAAATAATTAGAATACTTTACATTCGTCTCATCTCTTAAATTGTAAAAAAAAAAGGATTTTAGCACTTGAAATCATAGCACCATATTTTTTTCGGTTTATTCTTACACATATATGGCAACGTTACTTTTAAAAACTAGGTAAAAATGTATTTAGTAAAAAATGCATTAAGACAAAAATGTATTACTAGTGAGTTCAAAAAGAAAATTGAAAAACGTCATAACAAAATCCAACATTTTTTATTTAAATTTTTTAAACAAATGCATAAAACTCGAAAATGAATGAAAATAACTTGCTAATTAATACTTTTATTCATTTTTCAAAATAATTACATTTCGAAAGCATTTATTTTATTTTATTATTTTTAGAAAGCTTACCGAGTTTTAGAAAAAAGTAACGATTTCATTCGACATTTCCGTTACAAATACTTGTACTTTTTCCCTAAAAAAGTAACGAAAGTATAAGTAAAAGTACTAAATTTAAAAAGTAACGAAGTACAAGTAAAAGTACGTACTTTTTACTTGTACCGGCGGTACAAGTAACGAAAGTAAAAGTACTGCCATATATGTTCTTACATTTCTATTCTCATTAGCAATTTAGTAATTGTTGACACTTCCGTGTCTTACAACAATTGGATACTTGCAATTCGATAAGAAGTTAAAGGATTTAAGCCTAACCACGTGATTTATTACACATTTAATCGGATACCCGTGAGCGACGTCACACGTGTGTATCGAACCTGATTGGCTTCTGAATCGACCACGTTTTACTAACGATGACGTCTCTTGCAGGTATCCAATCCTAAACGGACTAAAGCACAATCTTTTTATTATTATAGATCAAAGATGGTGAACTGGTTTCAATTAGTGTGCCAGCTAAATTATGGCTTATTATTTTAAGATATACAGCGTACTACTTGTTATATTTATTTTTAAAAATAACCTTAAATCATTGCTTTGATTATTATGAACTTTTTGCGTACCACGCGTGTTGTAGGCTCGCTATCTCTGTTATATATTATGCTTGTTATAGATTATAAAAGATCATAAACAACCATATTTATTAAAATAATCTTCAAAATTACATTGAATATATTAGATGCATGTTAAGAGGTAAACGAATGTTTCTCCGATTATTAATTGACAAAAGGAAGGTAAGAAAAAACAAATATAATTCTGTAAAACTTCTTTTCGCCTTAATTTTTGTTGTCCCTTCTTCCTCAAAGGAAATATGCATACATGAAAACCCAGAATTGGTCATTATTGTCACATTTATTTACTAAATTTTTTATTTTACTTACTTAAATTTCATCTTATTGTTTACGACGAAAAGATATGTTTACCAGATAACTAACTTTTCTTTGTGTCAAACTTCATGGGTTTCTTCGATTCAACAAATCTAAAGTCATTTCTTCGCCAAGCAAATACAGAATGAAAAAAGCCTTGCTCCAATCACTCTTCCATTTGATGGTTTCAAAACAGTTCAAAGATCAAGTAAATAATGACGCTAATTTTTTACAGTTTCTATTGGCTCTTTAAGCATCAAACAATAGGTGTCAATTGTAATTATTGTGGTGAAGTACCTTGCAGATATGCTTGCTGAATACTAACAAGCTTATTAAAAAAAGAAGTTGTGTTGTTTCGCCTTGGTTTATTGTTCTCAAAAATGGTTTTGTTTACTTTTTTTTATTTTCACCCAAACATAAATTTTTCTTCTTTGCCAATAATAGTGATCGTAGCATCCTATAAAAAATTAATTGTGGCTCTCAATTTACTTCAATAAAGAAGTTTAATTTCTTAAAATTTAAATTAACATAAAGTTAGTTTCAATTTAAAAAATAAGTTAAGTTTCAATTGATTATTAATTAGTTGATTATCAATTGATCAACTTAATGAATTGATTGGTTTTAAATTTATATTTCAATGTAAAAGTTAAGCTTTATTTTAAAGCTAACAAAATATTTAAAATTTAAATATCACTTCAGTATAAAAATAACACCGTTTACGTTTTTAGAAATAAATTTTTTGTAGCAAATTTAGAATGAACTTGCCTTGCTATACCATTCTATACTTTCTTTATAATTACTTAAACTGTATACTAATTTCAAAAAATGTAATTTAATTGTAATTGTTCATCCATATTCATAATTATTTACATAATTAACATGCCGTGGTTGTAAAACTATCTCGTTTCATCCAAAAATATGAGAGAAATAATATAATTTACCTACTAATTTAATATTCATGGGACATTAAAACTTCTGATACTAATTAACAAGAAAGGCAAAAGAGAGTTTTTCCCTTTGCCTAACGGTAGGACATTTTTTTTTGTTTCGAAAAATAAATTCTAATTCATTCTTTCGTAAATTCATTTCCTCTCCTACTTTTGGAAGATCCAAATTTTACATGGTTAAAAATGACGTCATGCCTAGAACAAGTTGGCTAGATAGAGAAGAGAAGTGGTTAAAGGACTTGGGACTTAATAGAAGGAAAAATATCGTATCGAATAGATCTAGATGGGGTAAACTGACTGAGACCGTCTAGGCCGGTTACCGGCTGTAGAGCCTAAGAAGAAGAAGAAAAATGACGTCATTTCTAAAAGCTTCAAGTATGATTATGTTTCAGATCTTGCCTACAATTTTGCCATGCAAAATTTTTCAAAACATTAGCTGCTAAATGATAGATTGTTTACATAGTGTAGAACTTTACAATTCCAACTGAAATAATTAAATTTTAAAATACAGAGATGTATAACAGTTATGCTTTGTTTTCACTGTAATCGCAACCGTAATTCCATTTTTTTCTTCATATTTAGCTTATGCATGGATCAAATAGACAACAGAACTAGACTAAGATGCTGCTCTTGACCTATGATTTCAGCTGTCTGACATAAGCATATTTTCAAGATTACCATGGATGAAATCATGTACAAACTTTGTTCTTCACATTAATTATTTTCTTAATAATTATTTTTTCTTTTGTTATTATGTTCGAAATTACCAATGAATTTTATTTATAGATTTGTTATTAAGTTCGCAATTACTAATGAATTTTATTTATGAACTAGAAGTTCCTCAAAAGAAGATTGTTTAATTAGGGTTCCTTAGCCGAAAAGAAATTAGGAACCGCCATATTACGAAATACATAAATTTCAATTAGGTAATTGCAACTCAAAAAGAAGTGAAGTGATTGTGCCAACCATGCGATGTAAATCAGATATAATTGGATACCTACCTGTAAAAGTGACGTCACTTTTTAAAACTTGATTGACTTCTGAGTTGACAAATTCCACGATTTACCTACGACAACGTCTTCGGCAGATATTCAATTGGAGAAAAGTTGTTATTTAAAAGAGTTCACATATTTAGCAAAATTTTTTTAAATTCAAATTTAAAGAAATTGAGGTCTCCTGAAATAAATCTTAAGTTTATTTACATATTTTTGGACGAAAGCGTAAATTAATTTTTTTTTTTAAAAAGCATAAATATTATACAAATTTTAGTTTTCAATTTCAAACATGTAAAGTGTAGAAAATAAAGTAAATATAAAAATCTATATGCGAAATGTAACATTTAGGTCTCCAGCAATACACGAAACTTTTTATTTAATCCGCTATTAACTTATTAACCTAACTGAGAGATTGGGTTGAAAATTGAAAACATGCGTTACTAAAAAATGCGGTTTTCAGGTAGATTCCGGAAGACCTAAGTGCTACATTTCATATATATATAAATCTTAAACTCCCTCTCCTCTCTTATCAAAAAAAATAAGTGCATCTCAAACCCCCTGCCATACTTACGTAAAGAAGTCGTAACACCTTTCGTTTTTTTTTCTTTGACTTTTACTGCAATAATCTAATTTTAAAAAAAAAAATCGAAAATATAAAAAAAAAGATATTACAATAAACGATATAGCTTCGCATAAAAGAAAATTTATGTTTTAACTCATGCTATAAAATTTTGTGCAGAGTATTCTTTAAAAATCTTTTGTTTTTCTTTTGTATTCAAAACTGTTGTCCTCCGAAACACTTCGAAATTTTTTTCTATTTATTTATTTTCCGAAATTGAACTTTTACATTAAATTTGAAAATGTTTGAATATTTTTTGCACCTTTTTTTGTTTTGTTTTTTAAGAAAATTTTGAATATAGCGAGATCTTAATGGCTCACACAAACAAGCCACAAAACCTCTTCCTCGTTAGGTGCTTACGAAATAATTGAACAACTCCTTACCTTGCATTTTTAATTTTCCATTTTTCAAGGGGGTTTACCGGTCACGGAAATTTTTTACCCTTTATTCCAAATGGAATGATTTTCAATGATCTTTGAGCTAATTTTTAAGTTTTACTTTTACAACGAATCTGATTTTAAGGAACAGGAATTGGTTTTTAAAAATAAGCGATAATTCACGGATCCACTAAAAGAGATTTTTGTTTGAGACGGTAGACAATATTGATTTTTGATATTTTTTAACTGAAGTTTGTTTTATATTTATGCTTTAAAAAAAATTAAGTTTTATGATCTTGACCGATAAAAAAAGAAAAGACTTAAATATTTTTCAATTTGTCAAAAAAGTTTTTTGGTAAATATGTGACAACAGTGACAACGTTTTTACCACGTTTATATTAACTTGCATTCGTGTATGTCTGTTCGGGTTGAATTTTGTAATCGATTTTAAACTAACTTCCCGACTAGCTACAGAGTTCAAATTTGTCACATAGTTCAGAATTGGATGACAATGCATGAAAATGAAGAGAAAGAAGACATACAAAGTAAAATAAAATTAAAATTGAAGAAAAATTAATATTTTCGCGATTGTCTTTTGTTGTCGATTCGATTATTTCAAATTAGTGTCACATGTCAGTTGAAAAGTTTTGTGCACAGTGAGTGAAAAAATTGAGATTTTAAAAGTGAGTACAAAAAAAAAAAGAATCAAAATGAAAAATAATATTTTTAAAAACCACGTTTTTGTAGGGGAGAACCCCACGTTTTTCGTTTTTTAAATTTTTATTTTTTAATTATTATTCTCCACTGCAAAAACTTGGTTTTTAGAAATATTATTTTTTATTTTGATTTTTTTTTTTCGTTTTGAAATTGGAAAAGAAAAAGTTTTTTTCGAAGTTAACGCCTGGATNAAAAAAAAAAAAAAAAAAAAAAAAAAAAAAAAAAAAAAAAAAAAAAAAAAAAACTATTTATTGAATGAATGTCAGAAATCTGAAATCTATACATCATAAATATAACATGGGATGATAGAAAAAGGGAGTCAGCCATCATATGGGATAGGAATTCTAATGACATACGACATGTCATCATCTCTATGACATACGACCCACTGTGATAGGGTATCATCAAAGAAAGTGAAACCGCCAGAACGATCACCCTATCTTGTCAGGGTGGAAATAGCTGGACCGTGAATCCTTTTCTCTTTACGCTGTGCTCAACCCTAATGAAGTTTGTTTCATGAAGATGGCAAATTGCTTGGGATTTCTAAACAAATATTCATTAGACAATTTATGATACTTTTGTAGCATGATACGCCACCTGGATGAGTAGTGATCGTGATGTTGATCTGGTGGGAAAGTTCAGGGTTTCTGCAAAGCACTGATG